ATGTTATTGAGGCAACAAGCATGTTAACGTTGTGAAGGAACAGCTGAAAGGTATGCGCAAGAATGCTAAAACAGCATTAGCAAGTTCTGTGTATGAAAAGATCAAGAAGATGGCTAAGAAGGCAAAATTTAAGATAAGCATCCCTCGAACTTGTGGTAGGCAGACATTAAGAAACAACACCAATGCCAGGACACCAGTCGCCTACTTTCAACGGGCAATATTTCTTCCCTTCCTTGACAACTTGTTGGAGCAAATAAATACCTGCTTTAATGGACTATCAGTAGCAGCATTGCTTGGACTGCTACTGATACCTGCCAACTTACAGCAGCTTAACGAGTCTTCTCAAGAAAAACTTATTCGGCATCATTCCCCTGATTTGCCGTCCCCAAGCAGTGCGTCGCAGGATCTGGAGCTGTGGAAGTGCTTCTGGTATGTTATTCTGCATTAAAACTATACATGGGTTACCAAGTTTATAGTGCAACTGTGATAAACTGAAAAAAAACGATCATACCTTGTCTTGAAATATGTGTTAATTCTTGCTTTTATTTTTAGGAACAACGCTACCGTAAAATCCATGACACTGCAAGAGACATTGAAAGCCTGCAGCTCAAGCCTCTACCCCAATGTACACACAATTCTGCGCCTCCTGTTGATCACCCCAGTTACAAGTGCAACTGTTGAACGTAGCAACTCTTCACTGTGCTTCGTGAAGAATGTTTGTCGCAGCACCATGGGAGAAGAACGTCTAAATGCACTGTTGCTGCTCTTTATTCGCAAAGACACACCTTTAAATTATAATGCAGTTGTTGACGAGTACGCCAAACGAAACCAGAGAAGGATGACATTTATCAATCCACTGCAGTGATTTATTTCGATTAATAATTAATACTGGATGTATAAATGCAATGCAATGATTCTGTTAACAGTTCGCCTACTGCTAACACTACTATTTTGCTTTGAAAATTGTTTTATAAAATGCTGTTTAATTCTATCTTTCGAAACGTTAACATTACTTTACTTTGCATCACGAATACGCCCACAATCATGTATGCTGCATCTCCTTAAAGTGAAGTTTTCATTCGGCGGNGAGGGTGGGGGACTCGGCCCCCTCTTTCTGATTTTTCTGGATCCACCCCTGCAGAGACACATTCCTCAGTACAGCTCTGATGTGAATTGTGCCTATACATTCTCTCCAAGTGCAGTGCTGTGATGTACAGAGCAATACACAGCCATGCTGGAAATACAGTTGTAAGGGTCGGTCATCAGACAATTTGCAACCAAATTTTTAAGTTGCCTGACTTATTTTATGTTATGATAGGACATCATAACTGAGCTCCAAGATGACGTAGCTTTTAGCTGTGAAGATCTTGTTTGCAAACCTGGTTTGCCTTGAAACATGTGAAGTTACTTCATCCCATCTCTGGGTCATTTGTCAGGCATTTGACAACTTTTTGACCTGCCTCAGGGAAGGGCATTTGCTTTAACAGGTCAGACTGGGGGTGGGGCATTGTCAAAAGGAATTTTATCTTTTTGTTTTGTTTTGTTTTGTTGTTGTTGTTGTTTTTTTAAATTTCCTGATGGCCTTCAATGCAAGGCATAAAAACTGAATTGTTAAAATTTGTTGGAGTACCGCACTTTTCAAGTGAATCCTTGCTCCACTCTCCCCCCCCCCCTCCCACGTGTGTAAAACTTTGCAGTGTAAACCAAGTCTGCATTTAACAGGCATCAGAGTAGTTATGTACGCTGGCCCTCAGATGTTCTCACTGTCCTTGTTTGGTGTGAGGACCATGCTGCACCAGTTAGTAAGTTGATATCCTAATGATACCAGTGAAAAGGTCCTCATGAATTCTCTTCGCTCATGTCTCGTATGGCTTGCCATTCGTCCCCCAGAACCAGCTGGGGTACTTTTGTGGTCTGCTTATTGCGGTATTCCCCAAGGTCATGTAATTTCTCTTCAGCCACTTGGCAACTCAGGAGCGCTGTGTTCGCTTGACCCTTGACTATATGCAAACAACCTTCTGAATGCCATTTTGGCTTCTACGAATAGTGGCTTGGAAGCAACCAGCCAAATGACCCAAATATAGGGTCCTGTGTCATCCCAAAGAAACTTCTTATGACCGCATTAATTGGCCGCAGAGTTATGCTCTGAAGTTCTGGTCAGTGATGACCGTGATATCAGCTTGCGTGTCCAGGTGTAGTGTGATTGAAATGCTGTTTAGTTTAACTGATTTACCATGTCCTATCTGGTAGAGAATAGCTTATTTTGTGTCCTTTGACTCAAGTTCCACCTCCACAACCAAAGTTCTGATCAATTATTATTGGATTACCTTACCTTCTACTTTGGTTGGCTTTCTTCCCAACTCAGACAATATATTTCCCCTTGCAAGGCAAGAACCTACTTTTGTGATAGCACCATTTCCACATGCTGTGCACACTGACTAGGTGGCTGGATTACCTCTGCCTCCATATGGTGCTTTATTCCTCGTGCTACAGTATACCGTCCTGGCTTGGTGACTTTATTCGCTTCATTTTTACATGCTCTCGTTGATCACCTTTAGCTTAACACTCGCTGCTCCTCATCATGAAGTTTCCTTCCTTTGCTAGTTCAAATGCTTTTGCCATTTCACAGACCGATTTCAGATCCTCCTTCTTTCAAGCTCAGGGTTGCTCCCTTTTGCCTCGCATCCATGTGACCAGAGTCAATTTTGGCTACCAGGCGGTTCAAGTGGGCTTTTGATTTTGGAAAGGCAAGTTTCTGCAACCACACTGTACAGATTCAAAACACTATTTCCTTTTCTACGGGGACTGACATGCAGACCATGGAGACTCAAGCATATGTGACAGGCTGTGTTAAGCGTTTTATTTAGCTAGTATCTGAACCCATGGTTCACAGTCTACTTCCTCGTGTTTTAATCAATTTTGACAACAGTTACACTTGCATTACACTTGTTTGGTTTGGCAGTGGATTTCCTCATACTGTAATTAAAACAAGAAAAGTTAGTCTTCACAAAGGGCCTTTGATTACCACAGGCAATCTGATATGTTATGAATTGTGTTGGCCCGCGTGATTGGAAACTCACGGTGCAGTGCAGCCCTTGCGGCGGCGGTGGCTTCTGGCACGGCTTACAAGCGGGAAAAAGTGATTCACGGATCACGGATATCAAAATTTCATTTTCACGAATCACGAAAATAAGCAAGTAAGGTACCTACCTTTTTCAGTAAACTACTCTTATGCTTGAAAGAGTGTATGAAGAGAGCAAAACGTGAAAGGCTAAGTATAGGCCCCTTATAGCAAATATAACCTAAATCACTTTCGATAGACTACTCTAACCATTCGCGGGACTCGTGTCTCAAAATCACGAAGAATAAATTAGTATAGGTAATCATACGGTTTCGAGTTCAATTTGGAATTAATTTGCACGAGTGAGTTTTTCAAAAAGTTGAAATTGCACGAGCCGCTTCGGC